GTCTGCGGGCAGCACCACCGTGGGCGAGGCCTGCGCGTCTCCTCTCTGCGAGCTCATCAAGGACAGGTGACCCTGACCCCCGGCCGGCTGCTGCCTCGATCAGTCGTGGGCTGCAGGCTCCCCGAGAGCGGCCTCCCCCCTCTGTGACCCCACCTCATGGACAGAGAGGAGGTGGCAGGGGCCGAGCGTGGGGCTGGGAAGGCAGGTGTCAGGGCACCACGGGCAGGTGCCGGTTCACAGAGGGGCCCAGTAATCGGGCTCCAGGTTTCCACGGGGCTGAGTGGCCTTGTTTGACATCCGTGTGCCCTTTGCAACCCCCCGAACCTCACCTGCCTCCTGGATGGTGCAGGGGCCGCTGAGCTTGCAGCCTGGGGTAGACCAGTTGACGGGGCAGAGCAGCACCCGGTACCTATAAAGGGAGGCAGATGTGGGCTTAGACATACAAGGGGTGCTCCCAGAGCTGGCCTCATAGAGCGAGCGCCTGGCCCCCGGGGGTGTGCGCCACAGGGCTGGGAGAACCCCGCAGTGTTGCGGGAGGGGGCATCTTGGCACCCAGCGAACATGGAGATGCGGGGATTCCATCTCCGGGAGCCAATTGCCCGAGGCCTCGTCCTCGGGCCACAGCGAGGGCCCCCCTTCCCCAGGGCCTGCCCTGCTCCCTCTGCTCCCACCGTCAGCCTGCCTGTGTCTGCCTGGTTGGAAGCAACCTGAGCCTGGCTCTAGGAGGGCAGCCCGGGTAGAGGTGGTGGGTAGGGGGAGTGTGGGAGAGGCGGGGCCCCGAGCAGACCCTGACAGGCCCCGCCCCCACAGCCTGTTCGCGCAGTGCCACGCCCTGGCGCCCCCGCAGCACTACTACGACGCCTGCGTGTTCGACAGCTGCTTGGTGCCCGACTCGGGCCTGGAGTGTGCCAGCCTGCAGACCTACGCCGCCCTGTGTGCCCAGGAGGGCATCTGTGTCGACTGGCGGAACCACACCCGCGGGGCCTGCCGTGAGTGCCCGCCTGCCCCGCCCAGGCTGGGGTCCTGCAGGCCAGGGGGCTCTCCGGGCTCTGCCTGAAGCCAGACTGGGGTGGGGCGGCCTGGCACGCACAGAGACCAGCTTTGCTGAGCACAGCGGGGCTGGGGACGGCGTGGGGGTCTGGGGCGGGCAGCACCGGGCACCTGGCCTCCCGCAGCCTGGGTGGGAGGATGGGGCCCTTCGTGGCAGGGGCTGGGCAGGACAGTCAGTAGCGGGGCAGGCACAGGCTGCTCCCTCTGACTCTGGCCCCTCGGACGCCTGCCTCCTCCCGCAGAGGTGAAGTGCCCGGCTCATCGGGAGTACCGTGCCTGTGGTCCCGCAGAAGAGCCCACCTGTCAGTCCAGGTGAGGCGCCCGTGGAGGCGCCGGGAGGGCAGGCTCTCCCCTCTGGCGGTGCTTCCGGGTGGCCCCGTGTGGGCCTGGGGGTCCGGCCTGTCCCCACCGCCCATCTCATCGCGCCCTCCCGCCCCCAGCCCTTCCCAGGAGAACAGCACCCAGCTGGTGGAAGGCTGCTTCTGTCCCGAGGGCACGGTGAACTTTGGTCCCGGCTTCGACGTCTGCGTGGACTCGTGCGGTAGGCTGCCCCCCGGTGCCCCCCGCCCCCGCTGAGGCTGAGCCCTGCCCGTGCCGCACCAGGGCTGTGCTCACAGCGGCTGCTGCCTCTCCTTCCTAGGCTGCGTGGGGCCCGACAACGTGCCCAGAGAGGTAAGCCAACCCCTGGGTGCCGGGGCCGCCTTCTCCCACAAAGGCCAAATTTTGGGGTGTAGGAAGGGCTGGACATGAGAGCCGGGGACCCTCAAAGACTGAGTCCTGAGTCATTTAATTCCCGGACGGCTGGGCTAGGAGGGGTAGCCACCCCCGCACCCCTCCCTGGTCCACCCAGCTCCGCGTCCACCCCCCGCTCCGCGCCTCCGCCCGCTGGTCTTTTGTTGCTGTGCACACCTGCGGAGGCGGCGTCTTGGCCACTGCAGAGCTGTGCGCGTCTCCTGCACGCGGTTGATTCTTGAGCTCTAGTCTGCTCGAGCCCCGCAGACACACGTGGTTTCTGCCGGGTGCGTGCTGTGTAGGTGGACGGTGGTGAGCAGGTCAAGGTTGTGGTCTCAGTGACCTGGCCCTGAGGGGAGCCCCTGTCCTGGCCCAGAACCTGCCCTGAGGGCTTGAGGTGGCAGGTGCCTAGGCGGGGAGGCGATGGGAGGGGGACGGGGAGGTGGGGCGGGGGTGGGGAGGAGGCGCGGGGTAGGGCACAGGCTTTCCCGCAGGCAGCTCGGTGGGCTTCCAGGCGTGGTGCCTTGTCTCCCCGGGACCCCAGACCAGCTGCATGGAGGCCGAGGCCCAGGGCCAGGTGGGCCGGCGCCCCCTCCCTCCCCACTCACCCCTTCCTCCCTGCAGTTTGGGGAGCACTTCCAGTTCGACTGCAAGGACTGCATCTGCCTGGAGGGGGGCAGCGGCATCAGCTGTCAGCCCAGGGCGTGCAGCCAGGCCCCCCGCCCTGAGTGCAGGGAGGACGGCACCTACCTGGTCACCGAGGTGGACCCCGCCGACCCCTGCTGCAGCATCACCTCCTGCAGTAAGGCGCCCCTGGGGGCAGGGAGTGGCCTGGGCCGCGGGCCGTCCCCTCCTGGGCCCCCAGGGTCCCCGAGCGTGTCCCCGCTACACGGTTTCACCTCCTGGCTGAGCCGGGAGCCCTGACTTCGCGGCCCGTTGGAGGCCGGGGCCACAGGGCGCGTCCCCGGGACGGTAGGGCTTGAGGAGGCCGTGTGCCCAGGGCTGGAGGGGTTCCTGCTGCAGGGCCCGGCTGGGGGGCTCGGCCTGGAGGAGCCGTGCTCACCGGCGCGTCTCCGCCGCTCTTCAGAGTGCAACGCCAGCCTGTGCAGGGAGAAGCCCCTGCTGTGCCCGCTGGGATTTGAAGTGAAGAGCGAGATGGTCCCCGGGAGATGCTGCCCCTTGCACTCGTGTGGTAGGTGTGCCGGGGCCAGGGAGGCCGAGCAGTGGGCGCCCGCTCCCTCCCCGGGGCTGGGCGGTGCTGGGAGTGTGGGTTGGGGGGAGGGGCTCCCCCCCTGGGGGCTCCCTGCCCCTCGCGTGTCCACCGGCTGTGCGTCCGCCGCCGGGTCAGGAGGACTGTCTGACCCTCGCCCCGTTGTTCTTCGTCCCAAGTGCCCAAGGGCGTGTGTGTTGTGGAGAACGCCGAGTACCAGGTGAGGCCTGGCTGGCTGCAGGGGGAGGGCGGGGTGCAGATGCGGCTTGGGAGTGGGGTCTCAGCAGGCTCTCGGGTGGCCGGGGGCTCCGTTGGTGCCTGCACCAGGGTGCCCAGCCCTCTGCAGGCAATGGGGGGCCGGCGTCTGTCCGGGAGGGGGGTGAAAGGTGCCACGGCGGCCCCCCTCACCCGCCCTTCCCTGTGCCCCAAGCCCGGTTCTCCAGTCTATTCCTCCAAGTGCCAGAACTGCGTGTGCACCACCAGCAGGGACAGCGCCACGCAGCTCAACACCATCTCCTGCAGCCACGTGCCCTGCAACACCTCCTGCAACCCCGTAAGCGCCCCTGCCCCGGCCGAGTGTGCTGCCGCCCGCGGTCGGTCGCTCGGAGCCCTTCTCTCTCGACGCCAACCGGCCCGTGGGTGTCCTGCAGGGCTTCGAGCTGGTGGACGTCCCCGGGGAGTGCTGCAAGAAGTGTCAGCAGACGCACTGCATCATCCAGCAGCCCAGCGACCAGCACCTCGTTCTGAAGGTACGCACGCCCCTCCTTCCCCAGGGCGAGGCTGGCCCTCCCGGCGCCGCCCGGCTGTCCGGTGCCCTGTCTCTCCTCGGGACAGCGGTCCTAGGGCTTTGCCCCCGCCCACTGGGTTGTCCAGGGTGACCTTATCTCGAGGTCCGTAACTGAGTCACGTCTGCAAGGCACCTTTTCCAAATAAGGTCACCTCTGCAGGTTGTGGGGGTTAGAATGCGGACACGTGGGTGGACTACAGGTGGTGGCTGTCCGTGCGTCCCGGTGGTTCTGGGCCTGTGGGCTGGACCTCCGGTCCCAGAAGCCGCACTTGGCAGGGTGGTCGGGGAGCTGCAAGGTGTCGGGGTGGTGCCCCCGCCAGCCTCACCCGGCCTCTCTCTGCCCCACAGCCCGGTGACATGAAGAATGACCCCCTGGACAACTGTACCCTCTTCAGCTGCGTGAAGTTACACAACCAGCTCATCTCGTCCGTCTCCAAGATCACCTGCCCCGACTTTGATCCCAGCACCTGCCTCCCGGTGAGCCGGCCGGTCTCTGCAGGAGCGTGGGGCCTCGGTCTTCCCGGAGGGCTGGGTTGCAGCTGCCCTGGGAGGCTCTGCTCTGGGCCCCTTCTGCAGGAGCTGCCCCTCGCCATCCCCGTCGCAAGAAGGGGGTCTCACTGTTGGGGGACCTGGGGGTCTCAACTCATTCCCCTCCCCTCCAGGGCTCCATCAGTCTCATGTCCAATGGCTGCTGCAGGAAGTGTGAGTACAGGCCAGGGGGCGGCGCTCCCGGGTAGGGGTTGGGCTGGGCAGGGGGCTCCCTGGGCCCCCTTGAGGCACAGGGGGATGGTCCTCCGTGAGCTGCGTCCCCTCTGTGACACTCTGGCTGGACGCTGAGTTGGAGGTCATCACCTGGGGTGCCCAGGAAGCCTGAATCCCCTCCCAGGGAGGAGCCGGACAGAACCCAGCTTGCTTCAGGGCAGGGAGGTGGGGCGCTTGGGGAGGGGAGAGGAAGTGGGCAGGGAGAGCCCAGGGCTCTGGAAGGTGGAGCCCCCGCCCTGAGCCTCGGCCCCTCCCCGCAGGCATCCCTCGCAACGAGACTGGGATCCCCTGCTCCATGGTCTCCGTCATCAGGGAGATTTCCCACAACGGCTGCACCGAGTTGGTCAGCATGAACGATTGCTCTGGGTCTTGCGGGACCTTTGCCATGTGAGTCCCGCGTGGGGAGTGGCCCTGAGGGGCCGCGGAGGGGAGGCAGCAGCCGCCCGAGCAGGAGCAGGCAGTGGCCCCTCACTGCGGCCTTCCTTCCCCCAGGTACTCAGCCCAGGCCCAGGCCCTGGACCACAGATGCTCCTGCTGCAAGGAGCAGCGCACCAGCCAGCGGCAGGTGGCGCTGCAGTGCCCGGGCGGTGGCACACTCAGCCACACCTACACCCACATTGAGAGCTGTGGGTGCCAGGACACCACGTGCGAGCTCCTGTCCCCCCCAGGACAGGGCTCGGCGCTCCATCCCCAGGCTGCTGGCCCCAGGGAGGAGGTGAGCGGGGAGGGCGCGCAGCCCCGTCCCTCCGCCCCTCCGCAGCCTTGCGCATCCCCTTCCCACCGACCCTCTGAGCTTCCTCGCCCCCTAAGCTGACTTTCTCTCTGCGGCTATTTATTTTCCAAGTCTTTGCTCAGTCCTTTGCTTTGCAGAATAAACCTGGTCAGAGATGCCGTGTGGGGGTGCTTCTGTGGGTGCTGAGGGGCTGGGGGGCGAGTTGGGCTCGGTCAGTAGGCTCTGCACACGGCATCCGGGGGACACCATGCACATGTGGCTGGCCTGGCCTTGGGAAACCTCGTGTACAAAATGCCACCTCCAGGGACCACCATCCTTGGGGCTCCCCTGGAAGGCTGCCCCCTGCCCTGTCCTGCTCTTGGCACGTGTGAAGCCCTGGCCGGGCCATCAGGATGCAGGCGGCTCCTTCCAGGAAGCCCTCTGAGCCTGAATCTGTTGAAAAGGCCTCTGTGTCCCTTTGCAGCCATTAAGCACGCGTGTGCACACTGTGTTCATTTGCACGTGTGGCTGCTGTGGATGTGTGCACATTTGTGTCTGTGTGTGTGGCACACGCCTCACCCCGGGGAGAGCAGTAAAAGTGCTGGTCTGTAGACTCGGGGGCAGGACGCTGGCTCCTGCTGCGAGAAACAAGTGACCACTGAGCAGCAGCCGGCCGAGCCGCGGGACCTGATACGGTGGCACGTGTGTTTGAGAGCTGCTTTGTGAGCTGGCTGAGCCACCAGGACGGGGATTCTGGGGAAGGGACGCTCTGGTCCTCTTACAGCAGAGAGCAAGGCTGGGCCGTGGAGACCCACCAGGCTGAAATCGTGCCAGGCTTCTCCTCTCTGAGCAGGTGGTGGGGAGTGGGAGCCCTGGGTCCCTCAGCCGAGCACCCCCTGCCTGCAAGTCCAGTTACCCAACCTGAGAGCGTCCTGGGAGCTCCAAGGGGCGGTGCCGCTGTGGTCCCCCCAGAGCCGGAGTTTGCTCTGCTCTCAGGGCATCCGCCACATTCCCACCTGACTGACGGGGGACTGTGGCCCTGCCCACAGGCCAGGGGGGCTTCCCCAGTGTGGACCCAGAACCCCTCCTGTCCATTCGTTGACTCCTTCAGGCCTAGGCTGAGGCCACTGCCCCTGCCCCCTGTAGCCAGCTGACTCCCTCCCCCACCTGGTCCTCCCACCCCGGAAGAGACCAGGTCAGGACCTGCCAGTGAGACAGGAAGGGGGCAGGGCACAGCCATTCAAGGAATGCCACAGCAATTATCACCAAAATGGCGAAAGATTCAGCCCCAGCAGGCCTTGAGGCTCAGGATGATGGGAGATTTAAGTTCCAGCAGATCTTGATCTTCATTGTATGCCCATCGTAATTCATTAACGTGGGGAAGGACACGCCCGCAGGCGCCATGGCAGTCCCGAGGTCAGCCACAAAAGGTCAAGAGTGGGAGACGGCCAACCTCCTGGGAACCCCAGCCCCTTCCCCTCGACTGGTCCTTCTAATTATTAGCATAGGAAGCCACCAGGCCCATAAAAACAGCAGCAAGGCGCCTCGCAGCCGCCCCGTCTCTGTGCAGAGAAGGCCCGCACCCTGTCTGTGGAGTGTGCACCTACTAGTAATCTGAGCACCCAACCCCCACACCTCCTGGCCTGTCCCTTGCCTTTCATGGTATCTCTGTGAATAAATCTACCCTTACTCAACCGTGGCTCCCTCTTGAATTCTTTCCTGCGCGAGGCCAAGGACCCACACTTGGCGGGGCACGTCCCGGGGGCCCAACCGAAGCCTGGGACACGGCCCTCCTCACGCCCCACTTCTCCAACACATCAGTGCCACCCTGAGTCCTGGGCTATGCTCCTGCCCAGCCCCCTCTGCTGACTTTAGGAACTCCTGCGATCCTTGTCCAGACCTGTGGATGTGGTCAGTTGGCCTGGGCTGGCCTCGGAGTCTCCAAGTCCCCTCCTAGAGCAGAAGGTTTGTTGAGGGGACACGGTGGCTGCCCACCTCGGCTGGGTGGCCAAGTCCAGCTCCTGATGCCTCAGAACCAGCCCTGCAGGGCGGCGGTCAGTGTACCTGCCCAGGCCCTCAGCTGTCCCTACGTCCCTTCCTGGGCCTTGAGCTTGAGGGCTGTTCTCTCAGCGAGGGTCCTGTTGCCTTGGCCTAAATTCCAGCACAGGCTTGGGGACCTGCAGGACAGGAGTGGCGGGGGCCGGGGGGGCGGTGTTCTGTGACCTGCACCCCGGTCAGGAGGAGGGGTCAGGCTCTGGCCCGTGGCCTCAGCCGCCTCCCAGGGTCCCGCCTGTGAAGTGGGGGCTTCCAGGTGACCAGGGGTGGGCCAGGGTGGAGCGGCGCCCACAGACCTGCTCCTTTAAGCAGAACGGCCCTGGGTTTCCTCTCCTGGACACCCGGTTTCCCCAAGATTTTCCTTGGCTTAAAAATAGTATGACAACCATGCGCGGATGGTCTCCAGGCCGCTGCCCCGCTCCTCCAGAGGCATCAGTGGGAGCCCTCCTTCCGCCCCCCACCTGCCCGGTCACCCCCAGGGAGCAGGTCCCCACAGGCTGGGAAAGGATGAACCAGTGAGCGATCC